TGTATTTATTTATTTATTTATTTAAAACATTTTTATCCTGCCTTTCTCCTTCAAAAAAGACAGAAAGCAGCTTACAGCAATTAAAAGACATTATTTAAGCTAACAGCAAGTATACAATACTAAAAGGATCAAATGAATCCAATACAGTGGTGCCGCGCTAGACAGTTACCCCGCATGACAGTTTTTTCGCTAGACATCGGCTTTTTGCGATCGCTATAGCGATTCACAAAACAGTGATTCCTATGGGGGAACAAAAAAGACAGAAAGCAGCTTACAGCAATTAAAAGACATTATTTAAGCTAACAGCAAGTATACAATACTAAAAGGATCAAATGAATCCAATACAGTGGTGCCGCGCTAGACAGTTACCCCGCATGACAGTTTTTTCGCTAGACATCGGCTTTTTGCGATCGCTATAGCGATTCACAAAACAGTGATTCCTATGGGGGAATTTCACTGGACAATGTTTGGTCCCTGCTTCGCAAACCAATTTTCGCTAGACAACGATTTTGACAGCTCCCTCCGTGCTCGCACACAGGTGTTTTCGGGACCTAAGCTTCACAAGACAGCGATTTAAACAGCTGATCGGCGGTTCGCAAAGCGGCTTTCCTATGGCCGATCTTCGCTAGACAACGACGATTCTTCCCCATTGGAACGCATTAAACAGGTTTCAATGCATTCCAATGGGGAAATGCTTTTCGCTAGACAATGATTTCGCTAAACAGTGATTTCAGTGGAACGGATTATCATCATCTAGCGAGGCACCACTGTACTAAAAAACATAAGCAACACCAGAGATTGGGTGATTATGGTGATCAAGTTCCAAATATCTTGTGGATGTTTGGGAGCTGAAGAGGGCAACATTCATAAAGAGGATAACAAGGAAGCTTCTTATTCCGATTAAGACATGCAAAGGTCATAATAGCAGCAGTTCAGCCGTGCTAGCAACTCTTCTCTTTGTCTAATTGGGTCTTCTCTAGAGTAGCAGGCAAAATCCCAAGGGGGGAGGGAAACCTTATCAGCTTTTGTCCTGTTCAAGAGATTGGGTGATTATGGTGATCAGTGTTTTTTTGTTGTGTGTGTATTGTTGTGATAAGGGGGAAAGATTATCTGTCACTGTGATTGATGGGTGTCATTAGCTGGTCTTTTGTGTGTAGTGAACACACAACAACCATCAGATCCAGGCCTTGAAAGCCTTCGGAGAATCTCTGATGTGTTTTAGTCTTGTAAGACTAAATATTTTATTACCTGTAAATCTTTAAACAATTGTAGATCAAATGTTCTTTAGCTTGAAATACACTGACTTTGGTCTCTTGCCCTAGATACTTAAATATTTCGGATGGTTATATACTGTACATACATACACTTATTCCTTTCCTGCATTTGTGGGCACATTACATTTTTATTATACAATATGCCTGGATAATTTCTGAATAAAAATCATTTATTATTATTTTTATGCAATGATGAGTGCTGTAACCATTCCCGTTCACTAATTATATGACTGTTGTCCAATTCTTGGTTTAGACTCCATTCTCCGTGCACTCTGGAGAATGATTTAGAAAAGGTACATTTTAATCACCATGCTACCTGAAGGATAATGTTTCCAAACTCTTGTTACTGGTTAAATTAAGTTATGACTGGCTAAGTTTGCAAAGCTCTGAACCTCTGGAAATTAAGCCCTCCTCAATTAAAAAAGTTTATGGTTGAAGTCCTGAAGCATTATTACCATTTGTTCCAGTTGTAAGGTACTGTGTGTTACAACAATGACAACACAGTTGTTATTTAGTGCAAAACAGTTTGGTTCTGCAAATAAATGATCGGCAGCAATTTTCTTGGAAAGAAAGGAAAGTACAATGGTGCCTCGCTTAACGGGCGCCCCATTTAACGACAAATCCGCATAGCGATTAAGTTTTTGCGATCGCAAAAGCGATCGCATTGCGACGATTTATAGGAAAGATTATCTTAGGTCAATAGTATTTACCGAAAGTCAGTGTAGTGTAGTGGATATAGAGTGACTGACTAGGAGGAGACTTAGGTTCAAATCCCTACTTGACCATGGAAACTCAGAGTGACAGTAGTAATGGTTAAACCACTCACTGAGCATCTCATGTATCTTGAAAACTCTATTAAGACTGCCATAAATCAAAAGTAACTTGACAGTGCATAGCAACAATTAAAAATTAGATTTGCAATGATTCAGATTTCCAAAAGAATCTGGAAGACATAATTTTTTAAAAAAAAACCATAATTCCCAGAATTGGCACAGACTGGATGGCCATACTTGTGGCCTGCGGCACGCTTTAGATTTTAGAAAGACCTCAATTTGCAAATTTGTCTCTATAAACATCTGATGTTATCAAATCACTCCTCCTTTTGATTATTCTGATCATCATCATCATGTACCATCAAGTCAATTACAGCAACCCTATAAAGTTTATAGTGTTTTCTAGGCAGAGAGTACTCAAAAATAGTAAATCATTTCTGTCTTCTTCAGACTATGCAGCTTGCCCAAGACCACACAGGCTGGCTTTTTCCCCCAGGAGCACCATGTCTAAACCATTGAGCTATCCATTGAGCAACAGGCAACATAATTTTTTATTTTTATTTATTTATTTATTCTATTTATATCCCGCCTATCTGGTCAATTAAGACCACTCTAGGCGGCTTACACCATAAAATACATGAATAAATATAAAAAGATTATTATACAATAGACAAATTCAACAAGATGGAGAGCAAACAAAGTAAATCACAATAAAGAAAAGGAAACAACAGTAAAAAGCTTGGACTTTTTAAAAATTCATTCTTATTCTTATGCAAGGCAGTGCTGTAAGCATTACTATTCACAAAGGACACTAGTCTCCACGTACGCGTGCATGTGCGTACACACGCACAGATGCAGGGCACGCGTGTTAAACTGGTTTTCCTTGCACCCTTTTGCAAATGCTCCCTCCAGAGGGAATCTTGTAAACAAAAGCACTGCTTTTTGCTGTTAACTAAAACGATAGTTGCATATGGAGAAGAACAGACAGGGCTTATACACGCCCTTCCCCCAGCACCGCCACTCACCAATTCATTTCTGCAAACCGGCTCAAAATATATCGCCCACCGTCCCTCGCTGCAATTCAAGGCACCTATTCCCACGCGCATGCGCGCCACCAGGACTGAGCACAGACGGAAGTGGCTCCACCATCTCCACCACGGCTCTTTCGGGGTCTTTCTAGGAATTTAGGGGGGGTCGTTCTAGTTAACCCTTTGAAGGAGGAGAGAAGGAAATAACACTTCTGATTCCCCACCTCCCCACCCCGTATGACTTTTCAGACCCTTCGTGGAAAGCAGGGATGCGAAGGGGCAGCTCAGTACAGACCATAAATCCTATCCCCACCTTTTAATTTCTAGGTCTGTAGCGGTAGGACTGTACCACCATTATATTTCATTCATCCATCCATCCATCCATTCATTTATTTGATTTCAGTTATTTCATCCCATGATGAGCGGTCTCAAAAGCCACAGAGAAATCTGTGAGGAACCGCAGGGCTGGGCTTGTCCCCCTTCTGGAAGCAGGTCATGCATGGGGTCAGGGCAATCCAAGGCCATTCAGGAGAAAATCCCTGGCCTGAACCCAGCCTGAACTGATTCCAGATACTGTAATCGCTTTCCTGCTTTAAAAAAATATTAGAAAGCTCTCCAACCATCACATGACCAGGCACCTTGCTCAAAAAAGGAGCATTTGTGATCAGGCACTTGTTCTCACATCCCTGTGGGTCCAGAGGAGCCCCATTCAAAAAAGGGTGCACCTCCACCTCTTTTCAAACCAGCGCGAGCTACCACAACTCAGATAACCAGGCGTTTCCCACCTCCCTAGACCCACTCAGTCAACCCACTTCTGCTAAGCTCTATTGGCAGAGTGTGGCTTTGTAAAACCTCTAACTATACACCAGACAAAAGTTCAGGATTAGCTTCAAGTATCCCAACAATAAGGTCATCTCTCATTGTTTTGTTTTTCCTCAACTGGCACTTACGGTCTCATGAACTCACTCAGCGACACTGGTAAGAGAAGTGAATAAAAAAGTTCTATTTCACTCAAAGTTCATCATAGTTCAAAAATAAACTTGCATTCTGGAGAAAAATATTAACTGGTTACATGAATAGAACTTAACTGATTATCTAGCTTCGTAACTAACGACATGACTTGCCGACTGACTTCTTATGGCAGCTTGGTGTACAAAGTATCTAACTAAAAAGGGAAGGAACTTGAGTGTAATGCTTGTGTGTACATCTGAGGCAGGGAGCAAGCAATTGACTCCTACCGGACTGAGTGGCAGCAAACCCAATCCAGAAAGCGTCCTCCCAGCCAAAACCTCATCCAGGCAGCATATGACGGTTACTGAATTTCGACTAGATCTTATTAACCAAAGTACGGCATTTTTCTTCTTCTGCAAATCTTGGGATTTGCCCTCAGGCCTGCTGATGAATGTCCCCCTTCTAAGTGAATGGTGCTCTTTTGGCTACTTCAGGATCCATGAGGAGGGAAAAATTCATTTGTCCGCCTTACTTTCTGCCCTGTCCTGGCTCTGTGGGATCAGCCGCTTTGTAGAGAGGCAGTTCTGATGGTGTAGGAAAAAAAAAAGACAGGACAGGAAACGCTGCACCATCCTACCAGTTTGGTTGTCTTTTAGAATAAAGGCAGCCCTGGGAAAAATCACAACGCCCATGTTCTTTGCGGGGTTTGTGGTACTGAGGTTCAGAAAACACTTGTTTTGCATTACCTTAAAGACTTAGGGTGTGACTGTTGTGGGGTTTTGAATGTTGGTTAAATTCCTCTAACTCCCAGGAAGAAGTGCGGAGATTCACACAGAAGAATAGCTTCCAGTTCTTCAGTTAGTCCACCCCTTTTCCTCACTAACTGGCGCTTACCATCTCAGTTACTTACTCTAAGACATTAGAAGGAGAAATAATAATAATGTTTTCCTCGCTTACAGAGTTGTGAACAGATCAAACAGCAAACTGACAAACGTGGCTGCTTTTCAGCAACAGACTAAAGAGTGGGAAAGGAGAATTCAGAAGCCGAAGAGAACTATTGGTTAATGCTGGGGAGATTGGCAGTCCCCACAACCCACCAAAGTCTCTCCCACCCACACCTACTACAGGCAGCATGTGAGGTTGTAAAAAATCCAACAGCAACCAAAGAGGAAAGTTATCCCAGGCTGGGTTGGCCTAAATGAGGTGACTTGAAAATGTGGTATGGCATCAGGTGGCTTTGGAACAGAAAACACACTGGCACCTCAAAGCAAACCTATTTAGGCTGTTCCCTAATCTCAGCCTCCATGCTCCTGAGGGGAAAGTTAGATTTAAAAAAAAAATATTGGTAAATAGTACTGTATACCATTTCATTGGTTTGCTGACTAAGTGATATAGTGCTGAATTGTTGGAGTGAATACTGACCAGTGCCGGTTCAATGCCAGTGATCATGTGTGCTGAAAACGGAACTAAAATGGAACAATTCTCCCTGTGTTTTTTTTTAAAAATCTCGCACCTGTGATCCAAAAAAGTGTGGACAGCCATGGAAAAGGGCTGGTTCACAACTAACAATACATCGTGTAGCTGCTAAAAATAGATTGAACCCGACCATGCCAAAAGCACTCCAAAATGTAAAGTAAAGTTCCATCTGATCACACACTCACAAAGTTTTATTTGGCTCTTCACAGACCACCAATCTCACCTCAAAATAACTTTGTCGAGGTCTGAGGTTAGCTAGAAGAGACTGACTCAGAGCTATGGGAACACAAATACGTACGGCCAGGACTCCCATGCCCATCAGCCCCTGCCAGCATGATGGTAAATCAATAATAGGAGTTGTAGTCCCTCAACAATAGAGAGGGAGGTGGGTTTCCTAGCCCTGCTGTAATGAACACTCCACTTGGCTTTTTTTAAAAAAACCAACAGTACATTATTGAAATTCTAAGTATAAAATGAAATATATCTTTTATTCTTTGCTTCTTTCATACCCAACACGTTTCATGCCTAAGTTGTACAGTTGACTGTTGTTTTTTAAAGCCACCTTTCTGTCTGTAATATGCAGTATCCAAGAGTTTTTTTAAAAAATAACAAACTTTAAAACTACTTAGAACAACAACAAAAATTATCATTATGTAATAGTCACAGGTATATTGCAAATGTCCATCCAGAGAGGGCTTAAAACGTGCAGCTGCCTGAGGTGAAGGATTGGGGCCGCTGATGAATGTTATTTTAAATACTGAAGATGGGGCTGCATCATTCATAACGCCTGAAGGCCATAACGCAGATCTGACCCAGCGAGTGGGTGGGCATTGAGCAAGGCATGGGAAGCATAATGCTGAGTCTATCTACTCTGTACCTTTCAGCTTCTGTTGCCCAAGGTGGGTGTCTCACTCTGCCTCAAGGGAGGACCTGTCCTGTTTAAGCTAGCCCAGTGCCCTGCAAGGCTCCAAAAATGCAGTCAGCAGCTATATTAGTAAATAAAAAACAGGTCTTTTGTAATGTTAATGGCCCTTGATGCCCATTTAAAGCCAAATCACCCTCAAATATTTCAAGAATAGTTGCTTATACATAGCACTGGGAAACGGGTCTTTCGTAATGTTAATGGCCCTCGATGCCCATTTAAGGCCAAATCACCCTCAAATATTTCATCATCTATCAAGAATAGTTGCTTATACATAGCACTGGGAAGGTGTGGGGAAGAAAAATTAATTCCTAGCTTAAATTTCTCTACATATATACATAATAAACATTACCACAGTACAAAGTGTTTAGTTCTACTTCCCTTTCAGACCCCCTATTCCACACCCTCAAATCATGGTAAGGAATGTGTACATGCTACAGATTTACATTCTATAAGCTTATAAATTATGAGTAACTATTAGTTTATGTTTATATTAGGCTATTATGAGGCAGGACTGGTTCAAAATAATTTGCTGCTTCAGGTGAGGAACGTGATGGCACCCTTTCCTGTCCCACATACCGATGGCCAGCACCTGAATTTTACTTGAACTGGGAATGCGGTTTCTTGCAACAAGTGTTGTTTTTTTCAGGTACCAAAGTGGCTATGTCACTTATGCAAAATACCTTTGTATAACAAGTAATGGTGCCTTGTTAATTCAAAAGGCCAGTTCATCTTGCCTCACAATAAGGCCAGCCCTCACACTAGCCACCTAGAAGGCGGATCGGACAGGCTATTTGCCCTGTTGTTTGGTCTGCTGTGGCTGACAGGTGAGTTTGCTCTTTATTCTGGCCATCGCACAAAGTGGATGCAAACCAAGCTATCCCCTCAAAGCTCCCTCCGCACAGCTTTTTGAGCCCCTGACGGGGGCTTCTATCTTTTGGTGAGAAAATGATTACTCTGGTTTTGACCATTTCCAGTGTGTCCTACCATTGGGAATGGACCAAAAAGTGAGCCTTCTGGCTGTCAAGACACCTCCCATTTTGAATTTCCAATATCCTGAAGTGGCTTCATTAGAGAGCCACTTCAGGACATTGGCAAATGAAATACTTCCTCTGCTCCTTTGCAGAGGGGTAAAGGAAGTTAAACTCTTTTTTAAAAAGAATCTGGTATATAATCGCTGATGTGCTGCATTATTTACAATAAGAATCATGTGCTGTCAAGCCAATTCTGACATATGGCCACCTCTTTTCAGGATTTTCCAGGGAGAGAATATTCAGAAGTGGTTTATCTTTCCCTTCCTCTAGGGGGAGCCCCGGGACTGTGCAGCTTGCCCAAGGCTACCCAGGTTGGCTTTTCTCCCAGGAGACACACAGTGGGGAGCTGAATCCTCTCACTCTGCAGCCAGATACTTAACTCAGTGAGATATCTCACCAGCTCACATTACTTATAAAGAAATATATATATTCCTTTGCCTTTTCTGAAGGGCTGCACTTGCACTCCACCCCAAGAGACCCTATTTAGCCTGCAGTAGCCTGCTCTAAAATGAGCAGTATAGACAAGAACCAAGGTCCCTTTTTCTTGCTACCTATTTACTCACTACTTACAGTAACATGTTATTAGTACATTATTTTCCAAAGTTTTTTCTGTAAAAAGTTTGTGAATTTCTGTTAATGCCCTTACATAATTTATCATCCTCATCATGTGCTGCCAGGTTTATTCTGCCTTATGGTGACCCTTTCCATAGTGTTTTTAAGGTAGAGAAAAGAGAGAAGAGATTGTCCATTCTGTTCTTCTGGGGAGCGCCCTGGGACTGTGTAGCTTGCCCAAGGCCACACAGGCTGGCTCTTTTCCTGAGAGGCACCGTGGGGGATTCGAACTCTCAGCCTCTGACTCTGCAGCCAGATACCTAAAGCACCGAGAGATTCAGACAGCTAATAATGTACTGGCGAGTAAATTCCGATGTTGGGAATATCCTTTACAGGGTTTTCCCCGGTACAGAATACTCAGAACTGGTTTCCCCTTCCCTTTCTCTAGGGAGAGCCTTGGGACTGTGCAGCTTGCCCAAGGCTACCCAGGCTGGCTCAACTCACACTACTGTGAATAATGAACTTTGGAACTAGGAGCAACACATCACTTTTTGTGTCTGTTTAAGAAATACACAATTACCGTTTTGTAATCATGTTCCCACAAAGTTCTTCAGAGGTCTGTCCTCCAACACTTTGCAGCCACTCCCTTCTCCACAGTGTCCGCCGCCTACAGCACTCCATTCACCTTGCCTCATGGTAGAGCCGGCCCTAATACTAATTTACCTAATATATTTGTGTGATGGAGCAGTAGAAGTGTCACAGCGCAGGATTACGAGTATCTTGCTTGATCTCTACTACCATTTGCAGTGGAGGGGGGGAAAAACCCCTCTAAATCTTAGATTTGAAATAGTAGCCAGAATCCAACTGGGGATTTACATTGGCGTTAAGTGTAATATCTCAATTGTGGCAGCGAATTGCTGCTAACAAATGGTTGCCCTTGTCTTCCTGATTGTGTGTCAGGGTGTGTGACTGGCATGTGACCAGGAATGCAAGCAGCAACTATTTGTTTGTTTGTTCATTCGTTTATTTCAGTATGTATACTGCCCCATAGTACACACACTCACTGGGTGGTTTACAACACATTAAAAACACATATAAATATCCAACAATTAATACTTAAACAGATTTAAACCTGATCCCTAATTAAAACCTAACAATTTAAAATATGTACATCTCAGGTAATTAGTAAAATAAGCAGAAATCTGCTGTCACCATTTAGACAATTTGTGCACTTATACCAGAATAAATCCTCAATAGGATTCGGGCTGTTAAGTCTCACGTTTGCAGGCATCCATAATCACAGAGACGGGTCCTTTGGTTGTGTGGTCTTCTTATGCGCACAATCCAGGCAGTAAGCCCAAGTCAACACAATGGGACTTGCTTCTGAGGAAATATGCATACGATTATACCAGGCATATGTGTAACATAATCTTTGCTGCCTTTCTGATAGCAGGCAAAGACCTTTGTCTTCAGGCTGGATTTTCCTTAGGGACTGACTGTCTAGGAGACAATAATCAGGGCGGTTTATATTTTGTTCCTTCTAAATCTTTTTTTTTTGTAATGCTTCTACCTAACATTTTAAAATATACTTTATTAATTCCTGTTAAATATTTGAATAATTTACTATTTTTTATATTGTTTTTTTAAAGAGGCAAGCCACCTTGGGTCCTTTTTTTTTTAAGGCTTTTAAAGAGGCAAACCACCTTGGGTCCTTTTTTTTAAGGTGAAATGCAAGGCAAATATATTTTAAATAAATAAATAAAGACAATGTCAGCTTCCCAGACAACATGGAAATTCCTTCACAGTTTTTACTAACACAATCAGTGTGGAGGGTGGATGTTGTTGTTTTTTTCCCCTTTAACACTTCCTCTCCTGATGAGTGTTCTGATGCCTCAAGAGAAGCGATCGGTCACTGAAGATTTTCCCACAGTCCGAGCATCGGTACAGCTTCTCCTCCATGTGGATCCTCATGTGCACCCTCAAGTTCGAGTTCCCGCCGAAACTCTTCCCGCAGTCGGTGCAGGTGTAGGGCTTCTCCCGCGTGTGCGTGCGCTCATGCACCAAGAGGCCCGAGCTCTGGCTGAAGCTTTTCCCGCAGTCTCGGCATTTGTAAGGTTTCTCCCCCGTGTGAATCCTCTGGTGTCGGATCAGGACCGGCCGCTCCCGGAAACTCTTCCCGCAATCCGTACACTTGTAGGGACGCTCCCCCGTGTGGGTCCTCTTGTGTACGATCAAGTTGGAATTGTCGCAGAAGCTCTTCCCACAGTCCGAGCACTGGTAGGGCTTCTCGCCCGTGTGGATCCTTTCGTGGGTGATCAGGTAAGCCCTCGTGCTGAAGCCCTTCCCGCACACGGAGCACTTGTACGGCTTCTCTCCCGTGTGCGTCCTCTCGTGAGCCTGAAGGTTGCACTTCAACTGAAAGTCTTTCCCGCAATGGGCGCAGGATGTCTCTCGCTCATTTCCCGGTTTCTGAGCGTCGTTCATGGGGATCATGAGCTGGACAACATTCCCTTCCAATTCCACATATCTCCCCTGGGAATTGATAAACTTATCCTTCTCAAGGCACACACCCTCCTGGCTTGAGGAGGCTTTTCCCTGTTTAGGCCAACTGGATACATTCTGCCCAGCTCTTCCTGACAATCTCCAAGGCGGTTCCAGTTTCCCCCGGTTTTCGCATTTGTTCTGCTCCTTCCCATTGCCTGCGGGAAGAAGAACAGAATTTTAAACACAAGAATTTGGTTGACAGAGACCCCACTCAATCTTTGCCACTCAGTGAAAGGACTTCTGTGCAAGAATATCGTCGTTGGCTTTTGGTTACAATAAATAATATATAACATTTGCACACAGCAGCTTGAAGTGTATTGATTTAAAAAAACACTTTGTAGAGTAAAAATGGTACAGTGGTGCCTCACAAGACGATGTTAATTCATTCCGTGAAAGTCACGAAAACATTGTCTTGCAAAATGCAGTTCCCCACTGGAATGCATCGAAATCTATTTAATGAGTTCCAATGGGGAAAAATTGTTGTCGTTTTGCGAAAATCGCCCATAGGAAAAGCGTGGATCAGCTGTCAAAATAGCTGTCTTGCGAAAATCGGTCCCGAAAACACCAGTTTTGCAAGTCATGGACCTAGCTGTCCAAATCGTTGTCTTGCGAAAAACTGTCCCGAAAAACTCACAAAAACTCATCGCAAAACTCATCACAAAAACTCATCGTCTTGCAAATAAAACAAAACTCATCGCAAAAACTCATAGTCTTGTGAATAAACCGTTTTGCAAGGCAATCGTCTAGCGAGGCACCACTGTATCTTCTCCCTTATGTGTGTTTATACCAGCAATGGATAGCAAATAATCATTTGTGCCTTTGTTAAAAGATTAAATGATGTTTACTGTTTAGAAACATGTGTAAATATGGCATAACTCATAGGGCTTAGACATTTGATACTTGCCGTACATGTTCATAGACTCACAAAGTTGGAAGGGGCCTATAAGGCCATCGAGTCCAACCCCCTCCCTGCTCAAGGCAAGAATACAAATGTTCTTGACTTATTGACAGACATTTTTTTCCTCTAGTAAATAAATAACTCTTACATTGTAATGCCATTATAATTGTAAGCCTTTTCTGGCCTTATCAAATCCTGTCAGTTATGTCATTAACGCTGTCAGCCTATCAGTCCTATCTAAACATTTTACATACTGGATCCTATCCCAGACCCTGTTCCACGTTAGTCTCAGTCCCAGGTTTGTTCCTGTCTGACAGACCTTCTGACACCTGCCTTATATAGCTGCCTGGATGATTCCAGACACATTTGGATTCGTCAGAATGCTACACAACATTCTGTCTTCCCCTAGCAAACACCTTTAAACATACAGATACACATATACACATCTTGTGCTATATAAATATATGTACTACAGATGTTTGACCTTGTAACCCACGGATGTGGGGGGATCATGGCCACAGAAACTGTCTGGTGGCTTTTGCCACCCCTGTTCCTCCCAGATTTGCTGCTACGGTGGTGAAAAAAAAGATCTACTTTCCCTTTAAAACCGGGATGGGCTGCCACGGAATGTCCACAAGCTGCATTCACTCCAACTTCCATTCACTCTCAGACTCCTGATCTGGGAAAAAGTCATTTGAGGAAGAAAACAAGGTATGGGTGCTTGTGCCCTGTTTAGACAAGACTGGTACCCAGAGTTGTGACTTTATTTTTCTTTAAAAGAAAGAAAAGCTATAGGAAAATCACAACAACTACGACTTCAAGGGGCCACAGAATTCTCAACCCCCATTTTAAAACAAGGTGCATAATTCCCATGCTTCCAGGAGCACAATTCTGTTCGAAAACAAGGCGAGTAGGGAGCACGTACCTTGTTTAAAGAGGAAAAGAAATATTATTTCTTCTGCCACTGCGATGGTGTCAAATTTGGCGATGGCAGCAACAGGGTTTGTACTGATTTTGGGGAGTCTGTAGGATGAAAGTACCCCCTCTTGGTACAATTCAAGGGTTATATAGTTTTATTTTATTGTACTTGTCTACATTCCTGTACATGGGTGGGAATTTTTTTTCCTACCAAGGGGTGCATTAATTAAGTTGAAACCTGGTTGAGATATGCTTTGTAGCAAGTGGGCGTGGCCAGTGCCCAAAGTGGGTGGAGTCATCACCCAAAGGGAGTGTGGCATTGTCCAATTACAGCTGAAGTAATGGAGGACTTCTTGGACTACAGTTCCCAGAATTCCCCCACCTAGAATGGATTCCGACCATACTGGCAGCAGCAATTCTAGGAGTGACAGTCCCAACGAGTAACTGTCCCATGCTTGATCCAACATAGCCTAGAAAATTGTCTTTACCTTTTTTTAAAGCAACCGCCTCAAACCTGTGATACGTTCAGCTCCTTATCCAGACCCCTAATTCTTATCCAGGAGGAATTCTTACCCAGCATGGCCATCTCTCCATCACTCTCCGGTTTGATCGCCATGGAAGGTGGCCTCTCCCAGGCATTCAAAGGCATCCTCTCCACTTCAGGAGCATTAGCAGTTCCTTCCTGGAATACCCCCAGTACCTGAGTAAGGAGTAGGGAGTATTAATTTTCAAAAGAAGCTAAGCAAGGACTTGCCTGGGCTCATAGACATTACTTTAATTGATCATTTATTTAATACCCAAGTTTGCTTCCAATGAAAAGACCCAGAACAGCTTATAAAACATTTTTTTTAAACCCAAATATTAAAGTAGCTGAAGATTACAACACTTGGCTGGATAGCTCAGTGGTTTAGGTATCTGGCTGCTAAGTCAGAGTGTGGGAGTTTGATTCCCCACATTGCCACCTATGGAAAAGCTAGCCTGTGTAGCCTTGGGTAGGGAGTATTAATTTTCAAAAGAAGCTAAGCAAGGACTTGCCTGGGCTCATAGACATTACTTTAATTGATCATTTATTTAATACCCAAGTTTGCTTCCAATGAAAAGACCCAGAACAGCTTATAAAACATTTTTTTAAAAAAACCCAAATATTAAAGTAGCTAGAGGTTACTACACTTGGCTGGATAGCTCAGTGGTTTAGGTATCTGGCTACTGAGCCAGAGGGTGGGAGTTTGATTCCCCACATGGAAAAGCTAGCCTGTGTAGCCTTGGGCAAGCTGCCCAGCCCCAAGACTCCCCTCAGAAAAAGGGAATGGTAAGTATTTTCCATGACCCTGGAAAGGGTAATCATAAGAAGTCAGAGTGTGGGAGTTTGATTCCCCACATTGCCACCTATGGAAAAGCTAGCCTGTGTAGCCTTGGGCAAGCTGCCCAACCCCAAGACTCCCCTCAGAAAAAGGGAATGGTAAGTATTTTCCATGACCCTGGAAAGGGTAATCATAAGTCAAAATTATTATTGTTGTTGTTATCCAAAAACACCAGGCACAAAAATACCTGGGTTACTCAAGGCTGAGAACCACCGGTCTAGATCAGTAGTTCTTAACCTTTGTTACTCAGATGTTTTTGAACTGCAACTCCCAGAAACCCCAGTCAGGACAGCTGGTGGTGAAGGCTCCTGGGAGTTGTAGTCCAGGAACATCTGGGGGCCCAAGGATGGGGACCACTGGTCTAGATCATCTGTTTTATTCAGGAATTCTTGCCACTGAGAAGCCAACGCATCTCCAGAACTTTGCCCAGTCTTGTTAGTAATTATCCAGTAGAACTGAGTTTAGGGAGGACATTTTCCAACCAAGTTTTGTTCACCTGTCCTGTTTCAGAGGAGACATTCCCCACTTCCCTTCCCCACCCACCCAGTCCCGTACAATTGTTGTTTATGAGTCAGGAAACATGGGCGCTCTCCCTTCTCCAGGATCCTGTCCCTCCTGCTTGAAGCTGCAACTGGAACTCATCGAGGAGCACAGGATAAACAAATTTACACCTGCAGGTCCTGTGACAACCACATGGAGATGGTAATGATCTATCTCTGATTACTTTTTAAAAAATCAGTAAAGACCTGAAAATAGGGCCTTCGCCCACTGCAGTGGTACAGCCCAGAGTCCTTTCAGGACTCTACCACGTTGTCTTCCTGCAAGGGCAGATCGAGTGGATCTGCAAAGCTCTGCAGGGAGCAGAGGGAGCGTCCTCACCTGCCTCTCCTCGGCCGGCAGCTTTAGCAGGAAGTCTTCGGCCAGAGACACCGCTTGAGAGCAGGTCTTCGGTCCACCCTGCTGGACCCAGTTCTGCATTCCCGAGGGCAGGACGGCCAGAAACTGCTCCAGGATGAGCAGGTCCAGGATCTGCTCCTTGGTGTTCCTCTCGGGCCTCAGCCACTGGTGGCCAAGATCCCAGAGGCGGCTGCAAACGTCCCGGGGTCCTTCGGCGTCGTGGTAGACCAACGTCCGGAAGCGCTGCCGCTGCAAGTCCACACGCACGGCCTCTTCCATCGCCTCCTCTTCGTTTTCTCCCAGGATTTCTTCCTTCACTTTCCCTCCTCCTTCCCTGTCTTGAGCCCACACGTGGTCTTCTCTGCTGCCACGGGCCAGGACTTGGGTCAGCTTCTCACTGCCCAAGCGCTGCCTGGTATCCACCATTCCTTGAGGAGGAGACACCACAGTTTGACCCTCCTCTCGTAACGATGTGATGTGTTGTAGGTTTTGCCCGTGGGGATGGGAAGACACCACCCCTTTCCGGAAGTCCTGCAACTGGGCCTCCCAGAGCTGTTGAGTCCCCTTTGGCAGCTCCTGCTTCACAGAGTCCGACATGTTTGTTTCCCAGAATTCCCCTGCACTCCTGGGCTGCCTGAGGCCTGGGCCTCTCTCTGCCCCCGGTTCTAGGACTGCTTTGTCCGGCTGCTCAGCTTTCAGGCCCTGCTGAAAGACCCCGAATTCCTGCCGAAGACCCGGAGGGGGTGTGTCTCTTCGTTCGGCTGCCATTTTCTTTGTATGGTTGGCCCCGACTTGGGGTTAGATCGGTTATTCTTGTAAGACCAGTGAGAGAACTCACCCCACGGCAGGATGCTCAGATAGGCAGTGGGAGTTGAGTTATTGCTGCAGGTTCCCTGTGGACGAATTTTTTTTTAAAAAAAGGATGAGCTACATCGTTAACAACAAGAAGTCAAAAAGATTGTCAGGGTTGAGTTGGCTAAAAATGCAAAGTAAATGTGAGCGTCTCAAAGCAAAGCAATTAAACTACCTAAATTCTTCTTCTTCGGTTAGAGAAACTTGCCCCATGGTGTGTGACAAGAATCAATAGGATGATCCCAAGTGAGACAAAGAAGCATCTCTGTAACCCACAACTGAAGGCTGGCCCCACATCTCTTTTAAAAAAACAACACACAGCTTGTTTAGGATGAGCTGATATTCTGCACTTCTTTGAATCTCTCCAGAATCTGGATGGCTGTCAGGTAGAGATCCTTCAGTGGTGGATTTCCTGCAGTGGCAGAGGGTCACCTAGATGACCTTTGGAAGTCCTCCCAACTTTACAGCTGCATGATTTCTTAAGATTTTATTTGCATGTTGTAATTGCTAGCTGCCCTAGCACCACTTAAGATACCTCAGGGGTTCAGTTTGCTTCCCCACTGGAAGTCCTTGACAAGAGCTAGACATGATGATCCATAGGATCCCTTCCAGTTCTGCAGTTCTAAGATGGTGAGGATGATGTTGATAAAAAGCTTTTGTGGGAAGGAAAAATCTAATACACAGACAGACAGACATCTTCTCCTGGTGAGAAAAATGGGGCCACCAAGTTCAATCTGTTGCCAATATGCAACTCAAAGGCTCTCAGATTTTTCCTTCTTATAATTCAGCATTTCTGAGACCAACTTGGGTATCAAGTGCCCTTCAGCTGGACCCGGTCCTTCTCAAGCCTCAGCCCTTCAGATTTTCTTAAACTTCTGCTCCCAGAAGCCTCAGCAAAGGAGCCAAGAGTGAGGGATTCTGGGAGACGAAATTTAGACCACCTGAACGAATGACGCTCAACAACCACTGATCCAGATAACTTTTTGTGATAGTACTTCAAACTTTCTATATACAAGGACACTCGAACTGGGCAATCTTAACATCCCTGACAGTCAGGACCATCAGAAATTTCCCCCGGGGAGCAAATTATTTGTAAGAATACCCAACCTTTCATTTAAAAATTACAAAAGAGCCAGTGGTGTGAGGCTGGCAGCAGTTTTGGTTGTATCTCCTCAAAATTACAAACAGTTGAAGTCAATGGGTCTTAATCTCAGGTAAGGGGGTGTACAATTGGCAAAATGTTGAATTTCTGGTTAAATTCCTCTGGCTGCGCAGCAGAAGTGTAGAGATTCACAGAGCAGAATAGTATTATGTTTGCCCAGAGTAGTCAATCCCCTTTTCTCATTAACTGGCACTTACAGTCTCGATAACTCACTCGGAGACAGGTAATAGTAGAAAACCAGTTTTCCTTACTTAACAGTTGTGAACAGATCGAACAACAAACTGACAAACATGACTGCTTTCAATAACAGACTTCAGCAAACTAAAGAGAGGGAAAAGAGACATAGAGCAGAGAGGCGGGGCTCTCTTTCAATTTAGAGGTAGGGAAAGAATGATTGGTTACTTCTAGATAGATTGACAGTAAACCTAGCCCAGAAAGGATCCTCTCAGCCAAACAACTACAGGTAGCAATATATATACTGTATTGTATAGCGCCCTATATATATAAAACTTATGTTTTATATCTATATACTTCTCTATATATCTATATATATATAGAACTTCTTTATATAAAACTTCTATATATACTTCTGTTGGATTTTATCCAAACAAGACTATGAAATTGGTGACGCTAAGAGTTGTTCAACAAGGCCCTTCTTGTACTGGAAGTGTTTCACCAGAAGGTAGGCAGCCATTTCTGACAGCCAGTGATATGTGGTGGTTTCTGTGTTAGGAGAGATGAGAGATCTGAGTTCTAGTCCTCACTAAGCCACGAAACCCGCTGGATGAATCCAGGCCAGTCGCGTTTCTACAGCCGGACCTACCTCATAGGGCAGTTAGGGGATAAAATTGGGAGGCAGGTTGCGTACACTGCCTTGTGTTCAACAAAGAAGAAAGGTTGCATGCAATAAAAAATAGCCACATCCTGTATTGCAGAGCCTGCACTGAGTGAGGGATTGTCTAAATGACCTCAAGGTACTTCCCAACTTTATCGTTCTGGAGACCTAGAATATTCTCTTTGCCAAGCAAGGCTTCTCCCTCTGAGTATGTTCATCCAGCAGAGCCTTTTCTGTTTTCCCCTTTCTGCTCTGAACCTTTGGCATTCGTATTATCATCATCATCATCCTGTTATACAAAAACCCTTGGTGTCTACAATTCTCTGCAGAGCAGCATAACACCAGGGAGACAAGTTTTTGAAGCCATCGAGGGGACAAGAAAAAGAGGGGGGGGGGAAGCATCATCAGAAAGATCGTGCAGAAATTCAACAGGTGCTGTTCCTCCAAAAAAAGAGTACAGTACCACTGGATGGAAGCTTCACCTGTTCAACTAATGCCTGTACCATACATAGCTTATGAAAGGCATACAAGCCCAGCCAGGAAAGAAAAACAGAAATACAATTACAAATCTCCTTTTGCAAAATTGTTCACTTTCTTTTATTTATTTATATATATATTTTTTAAAGCTTTACAGACAGACTTTTCTCACTCACCTAAAATACCTACATGGGGTGGGACGGATTGGGAGCCGAAGCTCCGGCGACAGCGCCTGGGAAATTTAAACCCGACTTTCCCACGGGAGGCGGGGCAGGAAATGAGTCACACCATTAAGATCCCTCCTCCGTCGCCCGAAGATCGCAGCTTCTCTAGGAAGTTTAAAAAAAGAAAAAACTCAATGAACTTAACCCTTTTTCTCCGATCAGGCGGAAAGCTCAGGACCGCTTCTGCTATCACAACATCAGATTAGTGGAGAAGTCTATTGGAAGACCTGAGTTCGAATCCCGCTCTGTCGTGGCGACTCGCGGGTACGGGAGAAATTGCTACTCCCGCTCTTTAAAAGCCTCACTTACCCTTGAAAGATTTATTAGGGTCGCTATAAATTGGTTCCCAACGGGATGCCACATATCAAAAACAGAAGGGATAAGGTTTTGCTGGATTTTTTTATTGGAAATACAGGCACAAAAGGACATGTTCTCTCTCTCTCTCTCTCTCTCTCTCTATCTATCTATCTATCTATCTATCTATCTATCTATACACACACACACACACATATACATATACATATACACACACACACACATATACATATACATACATACATACATACATACATGTGTGTGTGTGTGTATGTGTGTGTAGATAGATAGATAGATAGATAGATAGATAGATAGATAGATAGATAGATAGATAGATAGATAGATAGAGTGCATATATACATGCACACGCGCAGCTGGTGGGAAAGACCTTGTTGGAAAATATATATTGATATACACACACACACACATATACATACACACACACATATACACACACACTATATTACTGTATCCCAAATCTTTTGGACTGTAAGTACAAGAACCCCCTCAGCCATAATCGCCTCTGGAGCATTCTGGGAGTTGTAGTCTGAATGGTAATGCTCCCATGCTGTGTCCCAAAATTCAATTTTGTGTATTACAGTATTTATCACCAGATCTATAGCGCCCTATTAGTGAGGAACATTCTCATATTCTTCCTTTCTTTTCAGAGCCTTGCCATCCGATTCTCGAACAAGTGTGAAACTGGTAGGAAAGACCTTGTCGGAAAATAAACCATTTTATATATCTTTGGGGGGGGAAAACAGCTGATATCCTCGCCATTAGATTCATAGAAAAATGAACTACTCTTGGGCCTATTTTTAGCATCCTCTCACTGAGGATGGTCACTTTTAGGTTTTCCTCCCTTCCTTTTGGTGGCGAACGAACATTTCGAGTTACGAATGGCTCCATCTGCCATTTTGCTTCGACTTACAAATGAAACCCTGTGGGGAAAGCGCGAAATTTGAATTAACCGTTGACCTTGCTCGTCCATGCAGTTAGAGAGTGGATAGGAAGAGAGTCTTCAGACTGCCTGGTACTGTGTACATAGTACACTGCCTGTACTGTATGGACTTTATTTTTTTGGCTTTTTTATTTTGCAATTTTGGATATTTGACCTTTTTTAAAAAAAACATGGAGAATGCCTGTTCTGGGTGAGTACACTGTATTTACTGTACTGTTTTTTGGTTTTTTGTTGTTGTTTTTTGCAGCTTGGGGGGTAGGGCTAGGTTGGGGGGTTATGTTTCTGTGCCCTGATAGGTCTTGTGAAAAGTAGACTGTAATAATTTAAAATTAAAATGTGAAAATTAGACTGTAATTTTTAAAAATGCAAAAATTATTTGTTTATTTTTTCATTCTGTGGCTTCTAGGGTTTGTGTATGGTGACCTCTCTGTTGTTTTAAAATACTGTATGTGGGTTTAAAATGTGACTCCAAAGTCTTTTTTTTTCCCCTTTGGGGATCTGTTTGCTGTAAAAATGGTTGCTGGATGTTGATGCATGCAGTGTAAAATGGAGTTTAAAATGGAGTCTACAAGGCTCTTCCCTCCCGCTCCCCCATTGTCTTATCTATCTCTCCCTCTATGCTCTCTTTTTGTGATGAGGAGTTCTGTGCTGGAATGGTTGCTGATTGTTGGTACTGATTAGGCATCCTTTAGTATCAAGAGACTATGGTAAGTGCTCTGTACGGAGGACTTGGAACAGTGTCTAGTGTGGCTGAGGAGGCAATTCGAGAGTGACCATCCCTTCCACACTGGAGACAAACACAATCTGTCCCCTGTCCAGCTCCCTGATTTGGCTGCTTTCGGGACTGCCTCTTTGCCTCGGCCTGCTGGACAAGGGTCTCTTCAAATTGGGAGAGGCTGTGATGCATCTCCTGCCTCCAGGCTGAACACTCAGACGTCAAGGTTTCTCATCTGTTGAGGTCCATTCCTAAGGCCTTCAGATTCCTGCTTGCAGACATCCTTGTATCACAGCTGTGGTCTCCCTCTGGGGAAATTTCCCTGCACTAATTCTCCATACAGGAGATCTTTTTAGGATCTGACCATCAGCCATTCTCACGACATGCCCAAGCCAACGTAGACGTCGCTGTTTCAGTAATGCTTGCCCATTGTTCCTTCCCTCCCTCCCTCACTAAAAGGTGCTTGCTTTAAAAGGTGCTTGGTTTGGTTTAAAAGGTGCTTGGCTTGGTTGAAAAGGTGCTTTTCAAAGTGTCGTGTTTAAAAGGTGTTCCCTCCTTCCTTTCCTGTCCTTTTTTAACCTAAAAGGTACTTGGTTTGGCTTGGTTTTGTTTAAAAGCTGCTTGTTTTTAAATGTTTTCTGTTTAGAGGGTGTTCCCTCCTCCCCCTCCCTCCTTTCCTGACATTTTTTTAACCCAAATTAATCTTAGGTTAAAAGAAGAAAAATTCTCCCCCTAGTGGTAGCGTACAGATTAACCAGCTTTGCCTTAGTTCCTATGGGAACGAATGTCTCTACCTACGAACAGTGCCTCAACCTACGAATGAAAACCAGCAGATACAGATTAAATGGTTTTCAATGCATTCCAATGGAAAAGTTTGCCTCGATTTACGAACTTTTCGACCTGTGAACTTAATTCCAATATGGATTAGGTTCGTAAGTTGAGGTGCCAGCTACTTCAAGGCGCTCTGAATATTGAGGGGAGAGTGATGACCCCCTCCTTAGCCCATTGGGTTGCCATTTTATTGTTTTTCCTGAAGACCCCCCCCCCCAACTTGCTGAAGCCAGGCCAAAATGGGAGGCCATCGCTGGACAATCCTGAAACTTTCCAATCAAATCTACCAGTGGATGGCAAAGTATTTCCCAAATTATGATTTTCTTGTGTTTTTTTTTTTAACTGTCAGGGATAGGGAGTGTGCTTTTGTGATTTTTTGTTGTTGTTGTTGCCTCAGGCACCTAAATTCCACGAATGAATCCACTTTGACTCAAGCAGACAGATGGGTGGATTTTCTGTGGAAGTAGCATATCCAACAAACTTATTATCCTACGTAAACAGCGACTGTAGCAGAGAACATTGAATGTTCAAGTGTCTGGAACACCTTAGATTAGGCATCCTTCAGTCTTGAGAGACTATGGTACACCACAGAGGAATAAACAGTATATAATTTTTAAAGTGCCATTTTTTTTAGCAGAAATCAATGGGAAGTACGAGGGGGGTGCTGACAAGTATTGAGCCTTACCCAGAAAAAAACTGAGCTAGGCGGCTATAAATTGCAGGGTGTATTGGCCAATTCATCTATATTCAATGGTGCAAAAATCAATTACCTGTGATTTTAACTTATCTTTCATGTTCAGGTCCAAAGCGAACATGGCAGGCACCTCTAGCAAAGTTCAATGTGGAAGAGCATAAGACCATAATCAAGTTCCTGTTTCTCCAAGGGAAAGGTGCAAAGCAGATTCATGATGAGATGTCATGACAGTGGCCCTTCATATGCAACAGTTAGACGTTCGGTTGTCAATTTTAAAACTGGCCATTTCGGTGTTGAAAGTGAGAAACCCAGTGGAAGGCCTCCTGTCTCTGCGCCTGCAAATGTGAAAGCCATCCATCACATGATCATGGAGGACTGCTGAAGATCAGCAGTCTGGGAATATCTCGTGAGAGAGTTGGTGCCATTATCCACAAAGACTTGGAAACGAGAAAGCTGGCAGCAAAGTGGATCCCCAAACTTTTGACAACCGAACAAAAGAGGAAACGTGTGGAGTCATTGGTGGCTATTTTGGAACATTTTGCAAGAAATGAGTCAGATTTCCTGGGCAAAATGGTAACTGGTGATGAGACATGGATCTACTGTTATGATCCTGAGACAAAGGAACAATCTAAGGAATGGAGGCACAGTGGTTCCCTCAGGCTAAAGATGTTCCGAGTGCAAAGGTCGGTGCAGAAACAAATGGCAACTTTTTTTGGAATAAGAACGGAGTTCTGCTGGTGGATGACCTCCAACAGGGTTCAACCATCAATGCAAAATATTACTGTGTTTTATTGACGAAGTTGAGGCAAAATATCAAGGAAAAACGTCAAGTAAAGCTCTCCAAAGGTGTCATCCTCTTGCATGAAAACACCTTGTCACACACTGCAGGTGAAACAATGGCAAAACTGGCCTCCTTAGGCTTTCAAGGGATGCCTCATCCACCCTATTCTCCCGACCTGGCTCCTTCTGACTATCATCTGTTCCCCAAACTCAAAAGACACCTAAAGCAGACCTGGGCAAAGTATGGCCCGAGGGCAACATACGGCCCACGAGGCGCTCCTGTCCAGCCCGCAGACAGTTCTGAACATCAAAACAATGTATAGCTTTTTGTCTAAAGTTGATCCGTTGCTTATCTTTAACATACCGCAAAAAACCTCTTTAGTATTTGTGAAGATTAACAAGTTTAAAATAAAAACAATCATAACATCACTGTTTCGTTTTATTTTTAAGTAAAGTTGGTTTGGCCCCAGAACACAGTTCAGATTTTTCATGTGCCCCCCCCTATAAAAATTAATTGTCCACCCCTGACCTAAAAGGACAATGATTTGGGAGTGTTCTGGAGACAACTAATGCCGCAAATGAGTGATTACACCAGCAGTCGGAAGAATTTTGTTTGCAGGGACTTAAGAAGCTGCAGGACAGATGTCACAAGTGTATTGACTTCCTGGAGGAATTATCCTTTGATTTGTATTCCTGCATTGAGCAAGGCAGGGGGTTGGACTCGATGGCCTTGCAGGCCCCTTCCAACTTTATCATTCTATAATTAGTCCATTTCCACAAAAATAAAACAAAACCCCAAAGTATTGTGGCATCTTTAAGACTTATTTCCGTGTGATTTTTTCTACTTCTTCAGACACATAGAGTACAATATCTTACACACACATTGGTGTCTATATATACAGTGTACATGGATAGGGCCAAGTGGAAAGGCAGTGCATATTAACACTGGTAATAAGCTTCTGAGGAGACTGTTGCCTTATGAACACAAGTCGTGAATATTCAAGGTGTTGATAACATGTGTACCCTGGCAATAGAGAGATGCCAATTACTTGAGTTTCAGGAAACAGCTGGCCTGCCCCGGCCAGCTAAGAGGGCAAAAACTATCACATTGTGTTCAGTATAAAATTTCATGGATGACAGCTCACTTCAGTTTCTACTTGTCCCATGGTAAAAATGTGTAAGCTTCTGGGCATCACCAAATCAAGTGGCATAACTGAATTAAGCATTGCATGATTTGCCTTTCTCTAGCCCAGTGTTTCCCCAACCTGTAGGTAATGACTCCCAAGGGGGTCCCAAAGTGTTTTGGGGGGCGTTTGCGGGTTGCCAGAAAAGTTGTGTGTTTGTTGTGTGGTTTTGTGCTGTCAAGTTAGAACCGACATGGTGACCCTAATAGGGCTTTCAAGGTAAATGAGTTATATAAGGAGTGGTTGAACCAGTTCTCCTCCCCCAGCGAGTGTCCATGGCCGAGTGGGGATTCAAACTCCAATTATATAAGAAGTGGTTGAACCAGTTCTCCTCCCCGTGAGTTTCCATGGCCGAGTGGGGATTCAAACTCCAAAGTCCTAGTCCATCACTCTATGCACTATAGCAGAGGCCCCCAACCCCCGGTCTGCGGCCCAGTGCCAGTCCATGGGCTTCCCGGAACTGGGCCGTGGAAACGGATCTCCGCCCCCTGCCTACATGCATGGTGGGTGTTGCCCTTGCGTGGGGCACCCCCACCCCCTGCATGCGGAGCCTACCCCCTCAACCGGTCTGCGTTCCCGAAAGGTTTGGGGACCCCTGCACTATAGCACATGGGAATCCTATATGTGTTGTAGCTCTTGTTAAATAATTTCTTCCTTGATCTTTCAGAAAGTGATATCAAACTTAGCATGTACGTGTATATATGAGACACAGGCGCCTTGCAGGAGAAAGAAGCCTCTACTTTCTGAGAAGGGATGACTTTACCCCATAAAATAATCATTTTAATACAAATATGCCGATTACTTAGCTACAGCATTATCAAAGGGGGTCGCGATCCAAAAAAGCTACTATTCTAGCTCGATTCTACGGCCTGCCAGTTCCTCTTTCTCTTTTCTTGTTCCATTTTTTTTTCTAAAATATTCCTGGTATTTCAATGTAAACCCTTCCCTCCCCCGCCCCATATTGTAACCAAGGAGGAGGGAAGGAAATAAACACAACAGAAACATTTGAGAAAGCATGTCATTAGCTATATTGTTTAATTCTTCCACTGTACAGCTGAAATTATTATGGACCACGACTTGTAACTTCTAAAAGTTACGTTTCGTATAGTGTTGCATTGTCTTCCTTTCAATATGTGCTCTGTAGCTCTTCACAAGTCCATACTGAACATAAGAAGACAGAGGGGAGATAGAGCAGCACTTTTCAAATCCTCGGGAGGGAGTCATACAGAGGAGGGGCGGGATCTGTTCTCAATCATCCTAGAGTGCAGGACAGGCGACCATGGGCTCAAGTTACAGGAAACCAGATTTAACTGTTAAAGCAGTACGACGATGGGACAAATGACCTCGGGAGATGGTGAGCGCTGCAACGCTGGAAGCATTCAAAAGAAAATTGGAACACATGACCTCGGGGGATGGTGAGCGCTCCAACGCTGGAAGCGTTCAAGAGAAAATTGGACCACCATCTGCTTGGATCATATTCCTACACTGAACAGGGAGCTGGACTCGATGGCTTTATAGGCCCCTTTCCAGCTAAATTATTCTATGACTCTAGGATTCAACAATCAAAACATCCTGAAACAATTTTTTATTTTTTTTTAAAAAAGGAGACTATTCCCTGTTGTCTTGAAGTCTTTGAACTGATTTCTTTCCCTGGGATTCAAAGCCACTGAAACCTGTCAATGACAAAGGTGGGAAATTCTTTTTCTAAAAGGGTTCCACTTAGCAGAAGTCCATTCAATGAGCCTAGATAGAGCATGTTTGTACAAACAGGGCATTCTCCTCTGTTGAGGGGCACAGAATTTGCACTGCGCAGTCCGTTATGGATACAAAGATGTCAGTTATTAATATTCTTTAAACGTAAGCCAGTGTTAGCATTCAAAGCACGGAGCAAAAGGATTTTTTGATGTCTTTAGAGAAGTAGATTATCTGGGAATTAGAAGTTCAGTAGCTGCAGCTGGGGAAAAATTGAGTTGGATGAGACAAAGGGTGATCTGGGGTAGAGACTTGTTTGCACAGCGGCCAACAAGGATATGAATACTGTACACCGATCACCCTCCCACTCATGTTCCCCAGCAACTGGCATTCAGAGAAATGCTGTCTCTGATACTGGAGATAATTTATAGCCACCCTGATTTGTCGCCAGGAGCCACTGATGGCTCTGACCGCCATACATTTTGACTGCCACCATGACATCTTGTGGCAATGAATTCCACAGTCTGTGTGAAGAAATCCCAAACCTTTCTCCATTCAGCTTCACTGGATGACCCCCATGGGTTATAATTTTATATAACAGCCAATGCCCTTTCTTCAAATCATGCTTATACACTCCATTATATCTCTCTTTGAAGGTGGTGGCCATTTGATTTTTCAATCCTTTTTTAAAGGAATCCCAGCATATAATTGGTCTTTTTATAGACCAAGAGTCTGGCGATCAGGGTCCTAATCCCTCCTGAATCAGAGAAACTCACTTGGGGATAATGACAAAGGACTCCTTCAACATCTCACATACCTCAGGGTATCCTGCATGGTAGTAAATATGCAGCTAAATGAGCTGTCAATGAGAGAATCCCTGTGGTTCCCAACCTTGGGTCCCCGGATGTTCTTGGACTACAACTCCCAGAAATCCTGGCTGGCATAGCTAGGGGTGAAGGCTTCTGGGAGTTGAAGTCCAAGAACATCTGGGGGACCCAAGGTTGGGAACCACTGCTCTAGACAATCCCATCGTTTGCATGGATCCTCTGGTGTTTTGTGAAGTTTGAAATGTAATGGAAGACCCTGCCGCAGTCCTGGCACTTGAAGGACTTCTCCCCTGTATGGACACGACGGTGCTTCGTGAGGCTCTGCTTGCTGCAGAACCGCCGCCAGCACTCGGGACACTCGTACGGCTTCTCCCCCGTGTGGATCCGGTGGTGGGAGACCAGGTGGGCTTTGCTGATGAAAGCCTTCCCGCACTGGAGGCAGGCGTACGGCCTCTCGCCCGTGTGGATCCTCAGGTGCTTGACGAATTCTTCTTTCCAGCGGTAGGTTTTCTCGCACATGGGGCAAGGGTAAGGCTTCTCGCCCGTGTGGATCCTCTGGTGGCTGACGAGTTTGCCTCGCTCGCGGAAGCTCTTCCCGCACTCGGGGCACCCGTGGGGTTTCTGCCCCGTGTGGATCCGCTGATGCCGGATCAACTTGTCCCTCCGACGGAACGCTTTCCCACACTCCAGGCAGACGTGGGGCCTCTCGCCCGTGTGCATCTTCTGGTGGCGGATTAAAGTCGATTTGTGCTGGAAGTTCCGCCCACATTCCGGGCAGAGGTACTTGATTGGTCTCCCGGCCGGTGTCCCTTTCGGGACAGAGCTGTCCACTTCTACGCAAACGGTGGGCCCACCCCAGATCATCACCGTGGGCTGCTCCACGTGCTTCTTCGATGCACCACCCTCCCCAAAGCTTCCGTATCTCTGAACAAGGCGTTTGTACGGTTCTCCTGGGGACATCCGGCGTAATTCCTCCGCCTCTGAATTTCCTCGCTGCCCATCCCCATCTTCTTTCTCCAGTGTCCTACACTCACCTGAAGATGACAGACAGACAACAGTTATTTCACAGGTGAGGAAACTGTGGTTGAAGTGCTGCAAGAGATTCCCTCAAAGATCTTTGGTTATTCATATTTTTTGTCTTTTTCCTGGGATCCCTTCCTGCACCTCCCCCCGGGCCAAAAAAAGTGCAAATGCATTGTTGCAACTCAGAGAACCTTCCAGAAGTTGCAATTTTGCATAAAACCAGAACAGTCCCGAGTGATATTTTGCTAGCAAACAAATTCATAAGGTGTGTATGTGTAAAACTGGACCTGGATTTCCATCCACTTCTGGCTTTGTTCTCCATGGTTGACAAGACTCCTGGGAGTGCACAATTGCCTCACACATCTCTGGAACATACTCCCCCGGATTCACTCACACATGCACACGTACACAGGTATATACCCCACAGATTATGACAGATGGCCTACCTCCACACAAGTTTCCTGTTCCTGCCCCAATGCTATTTGGGAGCTTTCCTTCTGAACTCGGCCTAGCTAAATCTCAAAATCTTCCAGTTTAGGTCTTTCTCCTAGGTAAGCCACATTGAGGTGTCTGTCCATCAGACAGAACTCCCAGAATGAAAAATTATGGGATTTGTAGTAAAAAATAAAATCTGACAATTCCACCTCTACTGATCCCCAAAATGTCTCTGATTTCAAAGGGGCTTAGTACTGAGTAAATATGTATAGGGTTAAGCTGTCAGTCATTCTGATATAATGGCTCCATACCGAACAATCTGGTCTTCCTGGCTCTCTCCTGCGGGATCTCATCAGGAAGCGGTCTCTGCCAGACATCCAGTGGAACGTCCTCCCCCTCAGGGGAATCCACCATCACCTCCACAAAGGGTTCTTCACTCTGAAACAACAGCAAAAGGGTTCCATTTATTGGTGGGAGAGAAGCAGGCTATGCTGGAGGCTAGGTCTGAGCATTGACATTGTGTGTGGAAACTTTTTCCAGTTTGAGAAATACACGGGCCAGCTCCATACCTATAAGTAAACCAGGTGAGGATTTGTTAAATTCTGGCTTGTTTTGCCTAAATCTGCCCCTGCAAACAAAATGGTGGCTTGTTAAGCAATCGCAAACCATGATCCATAAGCCATGGTTTGTATCGATTCTGGCTTGTTGTTACATCTGAAGTAATAATCGTGGCTTCTTCCTGGCTTCTTCCCCTCCCCCATCCTAAAACATCTGACAAAACATATTGGAGGAAACAGGTTACATCTTGGAAAATAAATGTAGTGTTAGTATGTCACTAAGGCCCATGAGTTACACTCCTCTCAGTCTTGTGCAAGACTGTTCAAGCTCTATGGTTCATGAGGAGATCGGAGCACCACCTCCTCCAGAAACTCCCCATTTGAACCCCAAGATATCAAGGATGAAACCCAGTCACCTCCTGTTCCCTTTGTTTTGACTCTCGCTGCCTCCTCAAGAAATCCTCCGCCAGGGCAATGACATGAGAACAGGTTTCCGGATCCTGGTCCCTGACCCAACTTTGCACTTCTTGGGGCAGGAGAGTCAGGAACTGCTCCAGGATCACCAGCTCCAGGATCTGCTCCTTGCTGCGTCTCTCCGGCTTCAGCCACCGGTGGCAGAGGTCCCGCAGCTGGCCGTAGACCTCGTGCAACCCTCCCGCCTCCGGGCAAGAGAAACCACGGAACTGCCGGCGCTGGGCTTCGGCTCCTTCCGTTTCCCTCAGAAGGAGGGCGTCCGGCCTGTTTCTGAAGTCCCTTCTCCCTCTGGCACCCTGGATCCCTCCAGAAGCTTGTTGGCCTTCCCCTCGGAGGATGGATGTGGGTCGAATCCCCCACTCTTCAGTCAGCCATTTGCAAGCACTGGCTACTTCCTCAAAGGATGATGGGAAAACTTTGGTATCATCCCAAGGGGTCGCCCCGGACAGGAGCCGGTCCTCTTGTGCTATCCCCTTCAAGAACAGCTGTTTCTCTTGCACCTCCCAAGTCATCTCTTTTGGCTCCTGTTTGATCTGCGCTGGCACCGTCCATCTCAGCGGATCACCAACGCACACCACCTGGATCTCATGAGCATCCTCATCATCCGCTGCCGGGTCTTGAGCCTCCATTTTGATTCTTTCCTGCTGGTCAAGCGCCACCCGGAACTGGAGGCTCAAGGGCGGCCGGGTCTCCGGTTCCCCTTCTTCAGCAGCCATGAGGTCTTGCTCCGACTTCAGCTGATGTCTCAGATTTCTCAGCAAAATCATGAGGGAAACATCTTGCCTTGCAGAGAGGAAGAGGCAAAAAATCAGATTTTTTTCCTCCCCTCAGGTATGGGAGACTTGGATTTTTCTTTTCTTTTCTTGGTCAAGGGATCCCTAAACAGCTGCTGTTCACTGCATTCTCGCCTATCAGGTAAGGATTGGCCCAAGAAACAAGGAGCTGTTTCCCTGAAATAAGAGAAAAGCAAGAAAAAGATTCTTATTGTGTGTTGTTGTTGTTCTTTTCTTTACCAGGAGTCCAAAAGAGGTAAAATGACAACTAAGAAAAAACAAGTTGATACAAAGGGAAAGGGAAGGAGGAGGAAACCAGGGAATCAACATAAAAGTGGTCATTTGTCCTCTAGGAAGCTGGGGACGGACAGGTGCCAAAACACACAGATTTTTAATTTTTTTTTTTTTTTAATTACAATTACAGAATATAAGGACAGCAAAACGACATGCACCCATTTCTTTTTGAAGCAAGGACAGAAGTTTAATTTCGGGAGAAATAAGGGAGAGGATTACCATGACCCCCCCTCTCCCGCGCAGCTGTGAAGATTGCAGTCCCCATCATCCTTCACCCACTGAATCCGCCCAAGCGCCTGCCTGACCGCGAGAGCCCCATCCTCGACTTGCCTGTGCATGGAAGGCGCGGCTCTCCAGAGGCAGCGCCGGACTACAACTCCCATCGCCCCCCACTCGATTTGTGGGGAGGAGGGGGTCGAGGGCGGATGGGAACTGTAGTCCAACGACCTCTAAAGGAGGGGGAAGCCCCGTCCGAGAAAGCTGAAGGGTCCCGCGAGGGGAGGATTCGCTTTCTCCTCTGCCCTCCCTTACCTGCGAGTAACCCCCTTGGGTTTACGCATGAGTAAACCAAGGGACGGGGTCACCCTGGCCACTTCCTCCGGCTTTGCTCGCTCTGTTTTTGTGCATCATCCTCAGCATCGTCCCAAAGCGCGCGCTTTCCAACGCCTCGCCTCCTTCCACTCGCTCAGACTCTTTGCAACATTGCAAATCCTGGAAACCTGGGTTTTTAAAAATATTTTAGGAATTCTGGGTTATGGTTTTTGGAGCCTTGCAAGGCACAGGGACGGATCCTCCACCAAAGCATTGAAGGGAAGAGGAAGGTAAATCTCGTTTCCTACATTTCCTGGTCTCTCTAGGCAGGCGCCGCTGAGCCGGCTGGGTTTCTGCCTTTTATTTTTTCCCTTTCTTTTTTTAACCCTTCCAGACATCTCTCTTTCTGGGCCTCGCCAATCGGAAGCCTTGCCAGATGTTCCTCGTTTGCAAGCCACCCCGGCAGATGTCGCTCGTGCAGCTTGACAGGTGGACATCCAACAGGTGCGCCTTGCTCCCTTACCTGCTGAATGCCTGCCTCCCTGTTAGTTTGGCGCCGCAGGAGGAGCCCCTTATATCGGACTGGAAGAAAAAAAGCGAGAAAAAGTTTGGCTGGGGAATTCCTAATTTAAAGCTTCTTGCATTTAAATCGGTAAAATCCCTCCCTCTGGCCTGGCTGTTTCCCCCAGCGTTGGGCGATCAGAGAGATCATAGCTTGGCCAGAGCTGCACAACTCTTGACTATTCTGGGCTGCCTGAAAGAAATGTAACCTTTTACTTAAGGTTAAATACTTAAAACACCTAAAAGAAAGCCAGAACTCTTACAGCTTGGTCCTCGGTTTTTGTTTTAATGGCTCAGCTGTTTCAGAATGCTTAGATTGGTTTAAGGTAAGAATTTCAATTGCCTTAGCTTCTTCTAAGGTGATTACAGTAGTGTTCCCCCCATTCACTGGACCAGTATCCACTGATTCACTTATCTACCCCCCCCATTCACTGGATCAGTATCCACTGATTCACTTATCTACGGTTTGAAAATATTAACAATCTTGAAAGAAAGAAATCCAGAAAACCCTACAGTATTTTCAAGTGCACTACCAGAACCGCCCACTAGATAGAGCTGGAGACCGTGCTATTAATAAGTACAGTACTTGTTAGTGAAGAATACTGTACACAGCAGGTCTCTGGCCCCCTCTAGTGGCCAGGTCTGGTAAAGCATGTGAAAATATGGTACCGTTCGATCCTGGCCACGAAGGCCTTCAAGAAGACATGTGAAAATAATTTGTTCCCCTCTTTCCCCCTATTTCCAGGCAATATATAGTGTCACTATTATCCACATTTTTTAGTATCCCCAGGTCTTGGAACCAATCCCCAGCAAATATGGGGGTCCTACTGTATAAATAATTACAGTACTACTAATGTACTGTATAGTATATCACCTGGTCCTACTGTATAAATAATTACTACTAATGTACTGTATAGTATATCACCCTGAATATAGCACATTTTTATTTCAAACTGAAGAGAGGGGAAGCTGAATGTCTTTCCATTAATACACACACACACACACACACACACACGCACACACGCACACACACACATGCACATGCACACACACAGGGTTATACACAAGGTTAGGTTATACACACAACGTGTGTATGTATGTGAGTGTATAACCTAACAGAAATGTATCTCTACAAATGGTTAATCAAATAAATATTTTAGACATCATGGCAAGACATACGGGTACATCTCCGTACTCACACCCTAAATATATTTTTATATAACAAATAATAATAATGTGCCAAGTCAATTCTAACTTACGGTAACTTCATAGGTAGATACGTAATGACATCTACTTAATGAAACCTCATAGCAGCCTAAATTTATTAGTATTAAAGATGTTGCACAACCCTGGGGGCTATTCTGGGCTGCCTGAAAGAAAGCTCCTTTCGAGGGACAAGGATCCGGAGTCTAAAGAGTTAAAACAAGAGGGAGTAAGATTTTTGCCAGAGAAGGCCGGAACGCTTTCGA